CCTATCCACGTCATCATTTACCCAGAATGCTTTGTGTATATAAAAAAGGCCTCGTCCATGTAATACTGTATATTTTAAACTTTTAGTTTAAAAATGTACAAAACTGAACAGCCTACAGTATTTTTACAGTCTTTATTTTACAGTTAAAATAAATGTTTATCATATAAAGTCTAATGTTACAACTAATCAGGGATCCCTTTAAAATAATTTCCTCCTTCAGTCTCACATCATGATGCTGCTGCCACCGTGCCTCACAGTTCTGAGCTCTGAGTCTCATCTTGACTGCTCCAAACGTCCCTCTTGTCTTGGCAGCACGGTGGCTCAGTTGGTCGAGGTGTTGCCTGTCAGCAAGAAGGTTGCCGGATTGAATCCCAGCCGGGGACCTTTCTAGGTAGAGTTTGTATGTTCCCTCTGTGCAGGTGTGGGTTTTCTCTGGGTACTGGGTTTCCTCCCACAGACCAAAAACACTCGTTAGTCTAAATCGTGCTTTGATTGTGTTTGTCTCATTTGTCTCTGCATCCTGTGATGGACGGAGACCTGTCCAGGGTGTCCCCGTCCCTCAGTGACTGCTGGATATGGGCGCCAGTGTCCCTGATAGGACACAACGGGTAAAGGATGATTGATGGATGAAAAAAGGACATTTGTCTCATGTGGACATCTCAGACCTAAAGGTTCTGGAGCTTTGGTTGTAGACAACATTATAGGCAACAGAGGTCAATCAACTTTTCAGTCCATTTTTCTCCTTTTTCCAGATTCTTCTCTGTTTAGCGTTTAAGGAAAACGGCCTCAGATCTAACCCCTCCTCTGGGTTCTAGTCCCGCAGAGTCCCCCCTAGTCCTGCACCAATCAGCCAGGTCTTCTTTGTTCCTCTGCGGCTCGGCCTGCTCCCTCCACTCCTCCAGCGTCTCCCCTGCCGGGATAAGCTTTTAGCTGTGTCCTAGCTGCGGCGGCTAACTGCCACGCAGCAGCTGTCTGCAGCTCCTCACGGCTGCAGCCAAATGCCGCCACACAACACCATATAATTAAGAGCTCTGGATGGGAGCGGGCAAATGTAAAGCAATTTGCAATGAGGCGAGAGCTGAGCGAGATGTGGGGAGGGGACGGAGCGGCGAGCCAACCTTCAATCTAATTGGGCCATATCAATTTATTTCACATTTCAGAAATGTCACATCTTGACGTGAAGCAAAGTGGATTTGCATACGTGCTGCAGCATGTTTTTAGTTCAGCTGCAGTGCGGAGGAAATAAATAAACAAGAATAAATAGAAAAGAGGAGAAGGAGACAAAAATGCCACGTCCTCCTTCTATCTGGCAACGAGGTGACAAAAACACCTGAGAGAAATCGCAGCACCTCCTGGTGATCCGCTCGACAAGAAGCAACCTGACCTGCAACTACAAGCTAACCAGCAACTACAAGCTAACCAGCAACTACAAGCTAACCAGCAACTACAAGCTAACCAGCAATCTGACCTGCAACAAGTTAACCAGCAACTACAAGCTAACCAGCAACTACAAGCTAACCAGCAATCTGACCTGCAACACTGCAATTAAACAAGAAACCAATCTGCACTACAGCAACTAAACCTGCAACAGAGCAACTAGCAACTCTTTCCATCCTAAGAACAAAAAGATGTAAAAAAAAAAAAAAAGTTGCCATAAAATCAACAGTTTGTTTGTATTCAAAACTTAACCGGAAACATTTAGATTTAAAGTATTTAAAACATTAATTGTTATTATTCTATTTTGTCATTGTTAGACTTTTCTCTGTGACTTTATAGTTTTGTCTTCTTTTACTTTTTCTTTTCCAACCTTCCTTTCTGTTTTTTTTTTCTTTCTGACATCTTCATTACCTTTCCACCTGCTGCTAATGATTTTCATATCAAACTAATTAGAAATGTTCACGGGAGCTTTAACTTCATCCTTCCTCACCTCTGTCCAATCCTTCCACACACACACACACACACACACACACACACACACACACACACA